TAAAGAGCATACAACAATAGTGTAGTTTTATTTCTTTTCAAAGATTAGATTCATGGTCATGTAATTGTGAACAATCGAGCAATAGTCTTCTAGCGAAATTTAACATTTCACTTTATTTTCCAAATAGAGAAAAAATCTTCCAGTGAAGAAGCAAGATCCGACAATTTAAATTTATAATTCATGAGATCCTTAGCACTTGAGTTAGCTTTCTTTGTAAATTTTTCTTATTATTTGGAAGATAAAATAAAACAAAAACAAAATTGCTGGGCAGCTATCATTCGATATTTACATTTACATGACCATGAACCTATTCTCTGAAAAGAAATGAAACTACACTACTATTATGTGCTCTTTAACTTCCGACTTTCTTCGAACTGATGTTACCTGGTATCTCTTATTTATTAGTAAATCGGCTTGTCCGCGTAACGCGACACTTCGCTGATCAAGTTTTGAAAAAATTTGTTTTCGAGTTGGACAGATTTGAGTGAGTTGCTAGATGTCGATTTTTACGCTGATTACGAATCTGATATTTATTTTGTATAAAAATTGGGTTTTGTTATCGAAAATTGGGTTTTAAACTTTTCAAAAACCGTATTTTGGACTTTTTAACCAGAAACGTTTTGCAATCAATGTCAAGAGACATACCGTTCGATGCAGAATTAAATTCTCTACAAAATGGTCTATTTAGTTTTGACTTTTGTAGCTTAGAACAAATTGGAGACTCCTATATAGTTTCCAATTTCTTGCTCAGTTTATAAGCTCTTAGATCGATGTATCAATCTCATTTTTGTATAGAAGAGTATCCGCATAGAAAACAATAACACTTATAAAAATCAACTCATTCTGAGAACATTAAGGGCCTGAAAATCGGTCAACAAAAAACTGTGTAACAGCGTTACGAAAAACGTAACAGCGTTACGTTTGTTTTTTGCATTTTTGATCTGAACAAAAATGCTTTAGAGAAAATCTTTTTTACTGCCTGAAAGCCTATTCAATGCTCTACAAAACTGACTCTCGAAGCATTACGTTTAAAGAAATGGTTTCGCAAGAAATTAGAGTTTTCTCCATGGCACTGGAAAAAAGGGTCTTTTTATGTAACAGCGTTACGGCATGATAAAACCTTTCTAGATGTCTGAGACTTCAACCAAAAAAGGTCATTCTTATGGGATAAATAGAGCTTGATAAGCTGCGTCGAATGACGTTCGAACGAACTTCCTAGCTCTTAAACTTGCCGAGATAATTGAAGAAGAGTGTGTCAAAAACGTAACAGCGTTACGTTTGGACAAGCCGATATACTCCATCTAAAAGGAAAGAACTCATATACACCTTTATATAAATGTTATTTAAAACCCGGGCCTTCTTCTTCTAAACTCAAAGTGACATCGAAAAAACTCATTATCTCGAATAGTGTTACTTCTCAGCACATGTCACCTCGATCTTTTACATTCATTCTCTCTCAAAATGTTCAAGAACGATGTGAGCGTAAAAGAATACGTCCAACATCATGTGTATATATATGTGTATATAATATTGCTAAAACTCTTCACTCTAAAAGCATCATTGAAGACGAATTCTTCGCAAAATACTAATGTAAATAAACCATTTTCGAAACATCTATGGGAAAACATATACTTATTCTCGTTATAATAGTGTGAAATCTTCTGTGTCAATGACAAGAATCATTATGTAATGTGTCGATGTTGTTTTATGCATGCAATTAAAGCATTTTGTTGAATATATATATACGCTGTGAAACAAAAAAATATATATATTCTTAACGTTAAAAAATTGAAGTATTTTTGTTCGTTCTCTCATAAATCATTCTTTGACTTTTTTCAAGGGTTACACCCCAGCTATCATATTGTTTTGTGAAAGTGTAATTGATGACACACAATTGTTTTTTTTTTAAACAATTGTAAATCAACAAATAAAAAATGACATCTTCACTTTCTGTCGCTTATAGTTAAACAACATGATTATCATTAGGAAAAAAGTTCGATGATCGTTGTAGTGAGTCACCATCAACGATCATTTTTAGCAATGAATTGTAACATGGTCATGATGCATATTCAACTCGTCAGCTTCTATCGGAGCAAAATATGTGCGCTCCACATGAAATATAAACAAGATACATATTCAATAGATCAAAACAAAAATACAGGTATGCCCGCTCGTTCTCTCACAAATCATTCGCTAAAGTTAATCGAAGACCATAAATAAGTAATCGAGTGCTTTTTTTTGAAAGTATTTTTGATGTCAAGCAATAATTTGTTTTTTTTCTTTTCTTTTAAACAACCTGATATCCACGAATGAAAAAGTGATGCTTCACTGCCTACAGCTTGTAGATAAACACCATGGCCATGGTAGGAAAAAAGCTCGAAGATCGTTGCAGTGAGTCATCACAGACGATTGTTGTCAACAACGATTAGGACTTCAGTTATGATAAATATTCCTTTGCTTAGCTCCTATCGAAGTATGATATACATTCTTCATATAGAATATAAATCTGATACACATTCTACAGTGTAAATCATTTTTAAATTTTGCTTTGTAGAAAATCGACTTGAATTAAGCAACAACATTTTCATATCTTTATTTGATCAGGACATTAGACATGCAATGTACAATTAGCATAAAAGAAATTTATATTGCCATTAAATACCAAGATCTTTGATTTTTATATTTATTGACCCTGACACGTTTTACTGTATCATTTAAATGCAATAAATCATAGAGTAGAAACACATGAATACTAATTTTGGTTTTTGATTTTCAATTAATATAAAAAAATTAAAATATACTATAAATAAACAAAGGTTTACAAGATTAGTATAATGGCTTTGGCAGAGCAATCATAACTGCCTTATTCATGTTTTTGAATGATCTCTTTTTTCGCATTAACAGAAAAATAAACTCGACACATTTCCATGTGAATGTATAGCATAAAAAGATTTGTTCTTGTGGTGATGTTCATCTTCCCATTATATTTGACTGTTGCCTTAATGTGTATAACATTTGTACTCTCAAAACATGTTGCATATGTTATGAAAGGTTTTTCCATTTCAACAGAGATATTAAGTATCTTGAAATATTTTTTGTAGTTAGGAAGTTCATATGTTGTGAGAATGTCAATAATTGTCTTTTGATTCATAAGCTATTTATTTATTCATTTTATTCTAAATTCAATATGTCAACTGTTGCATTCATTGATGCATACTATATCATCATATTTGCTGCCTTGATTTTTTCTTTATTTGTTGTTTGTTTGCATTTCATTTTTTCGCTATTCTTTGTTGTCGTCGTATTAGGTCATCATGTGTTTATTATATAAACATTTCTTTTTATCTTTTATATCGTATATAGGTGCTTAATATATACAATTTTGTATGTATATTATGAAGAGACTGCTGGAAACCGTTCACCAGTAGAGTTTGACACCGAACAGTATTTGAATTCGATCGACTGATAGTCGGTATCATCATAAATAAATACACGGCACTTGGCAAAAAAAATTTGATGAATATATGATATATTTGATAAGCGATCGAGTACTTTTCTCATCTTTATTTCATTTTTTTTGTCATTTAGTATTTGTTAACATCGGCATTAGAACAACAATTTTGCTTTCAATAGAAAAATACGCTATTATTTATCTGAAGTGTTGTTAGAAAAATGACTATCATTTGGTCATCAAATATCAAATAGAAAATAAAAATTTATCAAGATAACCTTAATATCTCATTGAATAAAAATTAAACTTTAATTTTATATTCTTTGACTTTTTCTTTTTTTGTCTTTTTTCTTTTTGAGTATGTTTAACTTATTACGTCCGTAAATGCTTGTATGGTGATCACAAGAAGATAAATTTAACAGAGAACAAAAAAGAAGAAAGAAAAGATCGAAGGAAGAAGGATCATTTATCAAATCTATTAGAATGATTTTCAACGAATTGAATCTAGTGGATTAGAAATTATTCATGTCCATCAGTCATTCGATTTGTTTTTGCCTATTTGAAGAGAAGTTCTACGGCTAATTTCTGCTTTGAATTTTCATTTTGTTGTTTCATTTATTTATTCGTGAACCAATCCTAATTAACATAGATCTTAATAGAAAAGGAATTCATCTAAATCAGATTTGAAATACATGGACGCAAACAAGCATAATTTCAATGCATCAGTTATTATGATTTCGTTTTTGTTGAATTATTTCAACGTAATCTATAATGTTTTAATCTTTTCTGTGCAATGGTTGGTAGTCCGGGTGAGGCATAGTTTGTCCGCGCATTCAAATCTTAGATATTTAAAGGTTTTCACACATTCAAGGTGTTTTCTATCCATATATATTTGTACTTTAGTTTGTATAACTTCCGAGTGAAACCATTCTACAACTGTCTTTTCCACAGTTATCGGTTGTTTCCTCTGTCGGAATATTCAAAGAGAATCTGGTATATTTCTGGTTCATTTTCAATTATTATACTCTAACATTTATGGTAGAATATAATGTGAGTGATAGATAATAAAAATTTACAGATTTCATGAGCTTCCTGGTTGTAGTCTCACATAAATGGTAAATTTTTCGATTTTGTAAATAACGAATTCTAAATATGTTTTTCGATTATTTAGATAATTTATTATAAGCTTTAACAATTTCGAGGGCATTATGGTATGATAAAGCTTTGGAATAGGCCCTTCATTCCATACAGGGCCATATGCTTCCTGATATTCTACATTGATATCGAGAGTAGGATCATTGTCTGCAAAATGCTTCTTTACTTCCTGATAAATTAATAATACTCTTGTCTTATCTTTAATTTTATTTACATATGTTACCAAAAACAGAAAATAGCAAGTATTCTCGTTATTCCAAGCCACATCAGCAAGAATTCACGTCATCAAATGATTATGAAAACCAGGGAGTAAGAGAAATCATTTGAAACAAATAACCTCTAATAATTGGTTGTTATTAAATTTATGAAGTGATCAAAGAAGTCAAATATAGACTTAATTAACATAAGCCATTGTACAACGTTGTACTCCATTATCGGAAATTTCTGATATCATCAAATTCGTTTCAATATAATTAAATCCTTCAAATGTAGTACGTTCAATATTGATTACTTTATTCCACCATGTTGCTTTCTCTTCATCGCCTTCAAAACTATAAAGTTTCATACTGAACTTTTTTGATTTTTGCGAAGATTTTGCATTCATTGAGAGTGTATTGGAGCGGATGCTCATCTTTTTATATAATAAAATGACAAATGAAAACAAAACGCCTACGTAAAACATATTACATAAGGACTTGTACTTTTAAATTCTGACTTATTTTTCGGTAATAAAATTTTGTTTATTGATAATATTAGGAAACTATACTGAAGCACGCTATTGCACTGAGCACTATGAAATTGTTTAGAAAACTTATCTCGATTAAAAGTTAGTAAGTGCAGCTCCTTTGAGACTAAAATGTGGCTCTTAAAAATAATTAAACCAATACCATTGATAGATAGAAATTATTAACGATTATATGATACCATGCGAACTCTTCAATTTTGAGTCAAAAAAAATTGTATTGGATCATAAATATGCTTTAGATAACTGAAAATTTCGTTCTTTACAATCAAGCTCTATTGATTCATATTGAAAATATTTTCATTAATTCCTGTTTCATCCAGATGATTCCTTATCAATATAGAATTTGATAGAGCTTTTATAATTTATTTAATGGTTCATTTTTAAAAATAATATTTCCAACATAAAGAGCACCAGATTTGGTCAAATGATAACTATCAATTGATATTATTTTCCCATAAGGAGTAAAAAGAGGACATGTTTGATTATGTCCAATACAAAGCATTTTAAGTATATTGACAAATATTGATTTATCTATTATTTGCTCTAATAAACTATTCACCTTGACAGTGGATTGATCTGGATACTGATATTGTTTAATTCGATATTCAGTTGATTTATTAACATATAAATTTGTATTAACTTTACCGAAATGTTTCGGTCCAATAACAAATAGTTGTTGTTGTTTTGTTAAATTTAACAGTTTTAATGTCCTAGGTAATTTTCTAGTACTCCATTCCAACCAATTACTGGATAACATAATAACATCAGCTTGACAAATAAGTGGTAAAGCATGTATAATATCATTACCAAGAAAACATGTTTGTCGAAATTTTCCGTCTATAAATTGATTTGGATTTTCTGGACTTAAATAAATTTGACATTGTGCAGGAATAAAATGCACACGAATTTCGTAGTTAACCAAATGTTTTCCTTCAATAATCATACTATAAAAGTCTGTTGCATAACTATCACCAATTAGTATCAATTTTTTGTTTTTTGTTAATGATCGATTTGAAAATGTTTTATTTTTTTCTAAGTCGAAAAATTCTTTTGCAGTAGATTTCCAACCAGGATATTCTGCTATATCAGATAGATAAGAATCGTTTTGTTTGTTTAATAATAATGTTCGATTAGTTGCAGTTTGAATAAGGAATACTGCAAGAATGAATATCATTATAGCTGTTAAACAAGAAGCAGAAAATATTTGTTTTCGAGAAAAAAGTTTCTTATGACGGAACGGTTGCTCAATGACAACATAGCTAAAACTACTTAGTAGCAAAATAGTACTGGCTATTACTAACACAGGTAATATTTCTAATGTTTTATTGAATCGTAGACGATAAAATACGAGTAAAGGTTGATGCCAAAGATAAGCACTATAAGAAATAAGACCGATCCAACGTAACAGACGCAGACAAAGTAATCGTCCAACTAATGTATTCTTTGTTCCGAATAAAATAATCAATGTTGTACCCAATGTAGGTATAAGAGTATAACAGTTCGGAAATGGAGGTATATGGTTAGCATCAAAGAACAGAACTGATAGTATGATCAGTACAAGTCCCACGACGGCGAAAAATTCATTGCATTTATTCAATAAAGTTTCACTAAATTTGGAAAAATATTTAAGATAAATAATAGAAAAAAAAATTAACAAATGTGGTTTTTAGAAATGATCGAGCTATCTGTTTCGATATGATTAAATGAACTTTTGATTTTACTCTTTCGAAAATGTTTCATAATAACTATACATGTTAGATCTTCACAATAATCCTTTTCTCTTGGATAGAAAAGATCCTTAGGATGCATTTATCAAGATACATAGAATGAAAAAACAATTTTATTCGTATGATTCTTTTTCTCTTAGTTTAGTGACACATCATTGAACTAGCTGATTGAAATCAGTTTAGTTTTTGTTTTGATTACTTAGATCAACTCTATAAACATTACAACAATATTAATTAATATAACAGTGCCAATATTCTTCTATACAATTGAACAAAACAAGACAAGCATGTATTAAAACTTGACATACCTAACCGAACTGTTGAGTCGTAAGTAGAAAGCAGCAAATGAGCCAAGTAATAGCTCCCAAGCTCGTCCTATAGGTAAGTAAAATGATGCCCATGAATGTTGAAAAAACATTTGAAATTGATGATCGGAAATTGATTGAAAATTGCCACCCCATTGAGCAAGAAAAAAACTGAATAAAGCTAAGCACATCAGCAAATTAATAAGATGACACTTTTTCTTTCCCGATAAATAACATATTAATGGAAAAATAAGATAAAACTGTTCTTCAACAGCTAAACTCCATGTATGAACAAGAGGATTTACTTCAGTTAATTGTATAAAATAGTCATCATCTTTCCACCAAAAGAATATATTTGATGATAGAGCAATAATAGATATTAAACTTTGTCCGAAGTCCTTTAGTTGACCAGGTGACGTCCAATGATAAGCAAAAATACTACTGATAAATAGAATGAAAAAAAGTGCCGGAAGAATTCGACGACATCGTCGTTCATAAAAACGAACAAGTGAGAATGTTCCTTCTTCACGTTCATTCTCAATTACAGATGTAATTAGATAACCACTAATAACAAAGAATACATCAACACCAATATAACCTCCAGGCATAAATTTTATGCAACCAGCATGATATAAAATGACTGGCATAACAGCAATTGCTCGCAGACCATCGATTTCATCTCGATAAAATAACATTATGATGAATGAGCAATATCAGACATGAACGCATTGATTGAACATCAGCCAATGTTACCTATAAAAAAAACCAACAATAACTGACACATTTTATTAATAATATAAGAAAAAAAAATGAAATAGCATTTTTGTTTTCCTTCTAAAGATTAACAAAAATACGTTCTAACGCATTAAAATAAGTAGTTAAGATTGTTCTAGGCTTACGCGTACTAATGCTAAAATATCAATTAAAAATACATAACTAAATGTATTTTTCTGAACATGTATCATGATGACCGACAACCATTTGTTGTTTGTCGTTTGTTTTCAAATAAGCGAAATCATTCAAATGAATGCGTCTCTGAACATTAGTTTAAATAAAGAATGAGTAATTAACACAAGTTATTTGACAGTAGAATTTTCTTAAGACAATTAAAAAGTGACAAAGACTAAATCTAAAATGTTATATATTAATGTTAAACATTATTGAAAGAGAAGAAACAAGGTTAAATCTAATAGAACGAAAAAATAACAACGTTTCTAAAGGCCTTCATAAACAAAAGTATTTGTTTTGAGTAAACAAGAATAAATGAAGCATAACCAATTGTGATCATTTTTAGCGTATTACATCGTTTTTCTATTGATCAAGAATTGAAATCGCATAGGTCGCATTACATGATAGTTTCGACCAATTATCTGCAAGACAACTTCTTTTCTTTTCTTCAATAGATGAAACAGTGTTACAATATTCTAAATAACATTTGTCACTTAAACAGGAAAAAAAGATCTGAATTCATCATGGAAGGATTGAAATAAAAAATCATGCTTTTTTGAGTATTGTTTTTTGTCTGATCCACATGGATAATTGGTTTTAAGTTGATCATAAATTTCGATTTCTTTAAAATCATGTAGTGCATTGAATATTCTTTTCAGAATAACTTTCATTTTTATAACATTGTCATCTTGAGAAAATATTTCAAGTCTGTAAAAAGTGATTTAACTGATTCAGACTTTTTTCTTCTTTAAATTCGTTGAGGTGTGTTTTTTCGGTTTTTTCCTCAGTATTTATCAGTTTTATTTTTGATTGTTGTATTATTTTAGTTAAACAGTTACCGATTCTTTCTTCGTATCATTTTCATTTCTATTCACTAAATAATATGACATGTTTATTTTTTAACTTGTTGCATTTTGTCTTTGTATACTCTATTAAGAGCTGATATCGTTGATAGATTGATACTATCATGCAAGTGATCAGATCAATTATCCATTTCAAAAACGACAAAGGTTAGTTGTTTTTTTGATAATTTTTAAATGGAAATAGGTGTCAGTCTGCAGTTTTCACCATTTGATAGAGGTGAGCATTCTGTATCTTTCTAAACGCAACATTGTTCGTATGCAGAAGAGATCATTCAACGGACAGCTTTTTCAAAAACTTTTACAATTGTTTTTCTCTAAGGAATCAGTATAAAAAAATATTAGTAGACAAAAATAAAATTCATATTCATAAACAGAATAAAAGTAATTTATTGAATCTGAAAAAAAATGAAACAAAATATTTACTCACATTGAGTCAAACGTCATTATACCTTAGATCTTTTTACATTGATAAAATATTGAAGATTATATACGCGAAAAATATTTTAAAAAAAGTTGAAAGTGTGTTTTCGAAATGTGTTCGAACGTTTTAAGTCCTTTTTAGACTAAGATCAAAGTGTATTATCTGCTTCGTCGATTTGAAAGGTGACGCACTTCGCTGAATATGTCAGACTATTTTCAACGAATTTTTACCACATGGTAAGGATCATTCGAGCTCACTGCAATCCACGCCATGGATCATCTTGACACTGTAGTGTCGTCAAATTTGATTCATTCTCGTTTCACTCTGAAAACAGGAATTATCTATCATTATAGAATTACATAAAATAACCTACTCATTTTTATATGATAAAAGTAGAAGTACAAATTATTATTATTATTAGTAGTATTATTATTATTATATCAATAAAATAGTTCAGATATTATCACTTATAAATTATTTATAATGATTGTATTTTTCTTGTTTTTATTTTGACGAATAAAATACAGTATAATATCTATTGCAATGAACGTGGGTAAAGTTAGTACCAGATTCGGGTTTTTGCCGTCCGGATTCGTTCGTGTACTTGAATTGGGTCTAAAAATGGTTGAGTTGGATTCAGCATGAAATTCTGCATAGAATGATGTCGATTTAGTATGGGATCACCGAGCAAAAATTTTTGCATTGCACTCAGCCACCTCTCTCATATTGACCCTCAGCCTCATTCGTAAGAAAACTTTTTTGCTCCATTACCACATACTAAATCGACATTATTCGATGCAGAATTTCATGCTGAATCCAACTCAACCATTTTTAGACCCAACTCAAGTAAATTAGTGAATCCGGACAGCAAATATTTCTCAAAAAGTTTTAAATATTCAGTATTTTGGAGTCAAGTGCCAGTTTTTGCTTGATGACCGCCTTTGTTCGTTATATCATCGAATTCGCCGTAAAATTCTGCATCTAACTCAAGTGGAACGAAGTATAACTCAAGTACACGAACGAATCCGGACGGCAAGAACTCGAATCTGGTGCTAATTTTACCTACATAAAGATAAAGCATTTTCTTTCTATCAGACTACATAGGAGAAAATTTTCTTAAAGCTTATTCCGCAGTATTAAAGTGCCACCGCTATTACTGTTAGACTGCCATAAGTATTTGAAATTTACATTTCATTGAATTTAAAAATACTTGTGAAAAATCCTATTGTCATTGAAATTAATGAGACGGCAAATTTTCAAAATGAAACTAATATTTTTATTTTATTTTAACAGTAGCCAAAGAAAATGTAGTACTCATGTTGTTTTTCACTTATATCGATATAGATGGAAAAGAACAGAATGAATGTACAATTACCCATGTCGTACAGAATAACCCGTAAGAGGTCGTATACGGCTCGAAAACGGCGAAAAACGACTATTGATACGATGACCGTTTACATACCAGTGGAAACGACTATCGTTACGACCTCTTCTTTTTAGCCGTTTCATATTGTTTTCCGTCGTATAAACATAAGGGTCCTCATATTATCATCAGACACTCTGTGATAAAATATAATGGATTACTCACTATTTGTTTAAAAAAGTGATGCTATTTTTCATCTGAATTTCTTTCGATATTTAATTCAATAGCAAGTATTTTAATTAAATAAATACATTTATTTTTATTTCGATCTATCTTATTCTTTCGAACATAAATCAATTCAATATTTAAAGACAATTTATTAAAATAGAAAAATTCTTTTTTTATTTAGAATTTGAATCAATAAAATAATTCACAAGAAATATTTTATTTAATTAGAAGCATTTATTTTTTATTTAGAATTTAAAGGGTGTGGGTGTGGGTGTGTGGATTGATCTCACATACACACCCACACCCACACCCTTACAATTTTTAGGCAAAGTTGAGATAATTTTAATTAAATATGTAAAATCATAATAAGATGTTCGAGAATGATTATATATAGTCAATGGCATTTGAACAAGGACATAGCAAAGTATTAAAACAAAAAGAAAAAGATGCCAAAATACACTTGGTTTTACTACAGTTACTTAAAATATATATATATATATATGTCGATTTAGTAATTAGATTTGAGAAGAATAAAATCTTTAGCAAATAAAAAAAGTTCTTTCATATGTCCTTGTTGACTCTATCGAGTTCGTCAATCAATTGATTTACATCTATTGATATCTTCGGAATAAATATAGGTATTACAGGTTAATAATAATGTAATAGAATTAAAGAAAAAACAATGCTTTTCAGATTTCAGTTGCTTTTGTAAGACAGCATAATTGTGCTTTATATTTCAGAAAATAAATTGCATCGCGTAAAGAACATTTCACTGATAGATTTTCATTAAACAAGATCTAACGATTGGTTTAAACAAAATTATAATTTAATGGATGTTCATCAATTGGGCTCTTTTACAAACACCTGATACTTTTTGTGTCTAAGCGAAATAATGAAAAGAATAAGGCTTACTATTTTTTATGTTCATCCTTTAAAACGATTGAATTAAAATTATGTTTCATTGAACAAAGTTAAAATTATGTTCTTATTATTTTGAAAATGAAATATTAATTGTAAAATTTAAAAAAATCTGTTGAGCAACATCAGATGCTCGTCCCACTCCAATAAACGTTTGAGACAGCTTGTTGTCGTTTTATAATTTTTTAAACTTGAATGCTTGATTAAGTGTAGATTTAAATCTGATGATTTTATATATTGGTTGTAACTTGTAAATGAGTACAATAAACAACTAATTCCGATGAATGTTTTTCATCCTCTTTTTTGTTAAATTCTTTTTTGCTATTGACATTTGTAAACCAACAATATGTATTCTTTACATAGTTCAATTCATTGTTGACCTTGAAATTTTCTATTTGTTATTAAATGATAAGCGATTCAAAGACGTCCAACTAATTCTTCTAATTTTAATTGAGTTGCTGGATAAAATAATTTTCGTGAATGGACTTCACACCTTAACAGTTAAAATAAAAATTTAAAAATACAAACTAATTTCTCGATGAATATTCATATGATGCGTGAATATATTCGAACAAATAATTCCTACTTGACCATGTCACAAACACATTGCTGATTCAAAGAAACCACTGAATATATGATCAATTGCAAATTGGAAATTTTTTGTCCAAGTTTTTGGAACTTATTGACCTTTCATTGGTGGTTGAACCTCGACCTTCACCTTGTTCATCATTATCAGCCAAATCTCCATAACTTATTGCTGCTTCATAAATGTGAATATTTGCAGCAAGTTTTGCTACTACATTTGATGTTAAACACGTTGTTGTTGGTTGACTTCGTTTGATTATTACGCCTTCAACACGCTATACCAACGATACGTCTATTAAAATTTACTGAATCATATCGTTTTCGATGCACATTGATAATGCTGATGTGTCTTCGTCACCTGCCATAGTCACAGAGCTGAAATCGGTACCAGTTATGATAGAAGACTTTATAATAGTTGAATCTGTGAAAGTTAATATTAATAGAAAAATATTCTGAAACTATTTTATTTTTTGTTATTTCGATTCTTTCTAATAAATAACTCGTTTTTACTGCAACAAGAGAACAATTTAAGAAATGAGTTTACAAGAAAAATTTGCTTTTATATCAATAAAACTATTTTTATTTATGTTAACTTTCAAGTTAATATGAAATATTTCCTTTTTCGCACAGGATTTCTCTTTGAGTGAAGAGAGCGTCAACACCTACATCATATACATATCCTCAAAAGAGTCACGAACTCCTCTGTAGTTTTGCTATTAATAACTCCATGCCGAGCACCCTGTTTTTTTTCTTATATGCGAAGATCATAACAGACTATTTCAACTGGAATTGGTAATGAAAAAGTTAGACGAAAAGTCACTTTTCAGAGATTTCGAATCGCGAACGTATAACATATACCGAAAATGCTTCTAAATTTGGATACTTGAATCTGCGCTCCCTATCGATAGCTCATATATGCTAAACCTGTTAATGTGATGGTGAGAGTAATAATTTGATCAGGACATTATTAATCTTCTTGTGTATCACTACAAAAGTTTCATTGTAACTTGAAAATTGATTGGAAACACACAGTTTTACACTGAAGAAGCAACGCTTGTCGATTATGCTAAGCAATTTGTATTCAATAAAAAAAAGGAAAACGAATTATATGTTCTTCGTTACGAATACTCTGTATCCCATGAAAATCATTGGTAATAGCGACAAACAATCTTATCAAGGATGTAGCGCATGTCTATTTTGTTAAATTGGTAAATCTACATGAATCCTATACTATGAACATAACTTTTTTGTAAAAAATGTCAATAAAGCATGCAGTAGTTAGTCAAAGTAAAATATATTGATTCTAACATTGGAATTGATCGTCTATGATTAACATTCACTTGTTTTTCTCACATTCTGATAAAAAAAAATGTCGATTGGCTACCAAAAAAATTAAAAGATGGTTAGACTTTGCTGTGTGAATATTGTTCTGTTCAATGATATCTTTTTTTTTAGAGTCCGATATATTCAATTCGATTTA